ATTAGTAATAACATCATTGTTGAATATGTAACATCCTTATTGAACATGTATATGTTTTAATCAGAATGTATAACATGGAATAATTACGAAACAAAAAAATAAAAATTTATTTGGCTTATCTATTCTGTGTAAAAATATAGAAAAAAATATGGAGATGTGTGAGATCGACAGCGTCAGTGGAGTTTAACACTGAATTTGACAGCTATCTTTCGATCCAATCGGTCGTTTATAAACTAGGCGGCGATAAACGGCGACGAGGAAATATTACTTTATCGGCGTCGGTGTGACTTCGTGCATGTCTCCGATGAAGACGCAAATGGAACAAATTACCTTCTCGCAATAACGCGAATGTATACAAGGTAGAACAGACCGGAAGAACTTCCGGCAAAACTCGTTAATTCGAATACAAACCCCGGAGTAGAGAGGGCTAAGAAATTGCGTTACCCCACAGGAGTAATTTCAATCTCCCTAGCTCATCGCTTATTGAAAGGCAGCCTCGGAGAAGGATGTACTTTTCCCAGCGGGTGATGAATCGCGTTAATTCCAGAATACCTAGTTTATATGTAACAACAACGAACAAAGATTCTTCGAATTCAAACGTCCATGTCAGAACTGTCTCCATTAAGGCTCTTTTATCGATGCCTCGTTATCGCGGTCGTCCGCGATAAATTATAAAATTCGAAGCGGAGAAACGAGGTTGAGAGAGACAGAGGGAGACATTAACGTGTCGTCAGGACATGGGAGCGTAATAAATAATTCAACGAGGCAAATAAACTTAGCGCGTGTCGTTCGAAGGGAATTCACTTCGAATCCTGACATGCAATGCATTCCTGTATTTGCGTATTTGGTACCTACTAGCCGCGACCGAAAGAAGATATCGATTTCCGAGGACTGTCAATGTCTTATGAACTCAGATACAGTCCGCTATCGTTAAGATTAGAAGGCCAGTAACGAATAGTTAGCTTAATCAGACGCCTACATATAATGGTCCGAAGTAATTGCGCGCGAAAATGTGAAAACTATTGAACTAAAGCAGGTTATACTCAATTTATTCCCTTAAACTTCTTCCTCTAAAACTTCATAGACGACTATTTAAGTAAGACAAAAGGAGCATGAAATTTATTGAAAGCAATATATTAAATATTTTAGATTCCATATAAAATCGAATATAATGCAAATTTATGCCTTTTTTTAAACGAACTACAAAAATTAATAATAATTTAATTTAGAAGAACAATTAAAGTGTAATTTAAAACATAACAATAGAAAATACATATATATTCATATACTTATTTCTCGTGTACACGAGAAGGGTTCGAACGTATTTAAAATAAAATTGTTAAAGATATATATTTTAAATAAATTCTTCTTCTATTTTTCTTATTTAATATTTTAAATAAGTTTTCGGGACCTATTTTATATTTTTTATTTTAAATAAGTCGTATCAGTTATTTTACCGAGCTCTGTTCATGAATTTAATGACTCGACGGAACAAAGTGATTATCTAATATGGTGTAGCAAAAAACTGAATATATAAGAAACTAAAAGAAAAATTGTTTCACAATTAACATACTATTTAATTCATTAACTATTCCATTAGCAGAATGACTTCTGCCGGTATGAAAGCTCAGCAAACTTTAGTTTTGTTGGAATCGATTTCGAATTACGCAATGAACAAATCGCTTTCGCAAATACATATCCTCTTGAAATTGCTCAGATAATTTGTAGTAGCAACCGTAAAATCAGTGATTTCCCGATATAAAAATATCACGCGATTTTTCAGCTCAGACTTCGACACAGCCGGAGGGAGTGCGAAAGTCGGGATCAGCCGTGCGCGTTCAAATTGCAACGCAGTAGAGGATGCGGTAGTTCGATCTCGCGCGAGATGGCAAATGCACAGTAGACCATCTCGCAAGAGATATTTCACCGCTGTTGAAAGTTACGACTCAGATTTTCGCGCATACGTGGCTTCCCTCATGCCCTTAACAACGGACGGATGTTCCCTGTGATTCAGAACTGATCGCGCAAACGTGATGCTGAAGCAGAGAGAGAGAGAGAGAGAGAGAGAGAGATCAATCGTGAAAATAAGTAGCTTACGAGTTCGTATGTAAGGTAACCGGACCTTGATCTACATAGTCTAATACACAATATGACCTACGCTATTTGTAGGTAATTATATTTGTGGATGAATTTAACAGATAACATTAGTAATTCATGCAGGTTGTCCGTCTGATTCGCATCAGTTTATTCGTTCATTACGATATTGTCAGTAAAACAAAATGCTGAAAATTGTGGTTGTGACGTAATATTTCATAGGTAAGTAATTGCTTTCTATAATTACCAAGAGATGATTATTAATTTTCGTAGTTTATATTATTGTAGATCTATATTTATAATTTATACTTTACATTACAAAAACGTATTTAGTTTTTATATTTTTGTCATAATGTTTGAAAATATTAATATATTAAAGGCCTAATGTCGATCGAAGCTAGATCTTAATTGCTTTAAATAATTCAAGATGTGAACTATATATACATATATACTATATGTATATTTGCATATATACCATATTTGCACAGAAAAAAAGATTTTCTCTGCCGCAGCTAATCTTAGTTTGTTATAATATATTTGTTGCCATAACTATAAATTTATAAACTACAGCGAAATGGACTGCTATAATATAGATATTACAGTTAAGATATTAGCTATAATACCTATATTTTAGCTGTCCATATTTTACATCTGCCATTTAGTTACCACATGCAGTTTTTAATTACGACAGTTACTTTTTTTTTACTGAAATAATATCACAAATTAAATTTTGATGCTCAATAGGCATCTATTGTAGAGATCTTAAACTACTAGAATCTGTAAATAAATTCTGTAAAGTAGTTTAGCTGCATTTGTAAAGTCCGAAAAAATTTCAGCGCGTAATAAATATGACTGCAAATATGGTATATATGCAAGTACATATATAGTATACATATATATAATTCACATCTTGAATTATTTAAAGCAATTAAGATCTAGCTTCGACCGATATTAGGCCTTTAATATATTATTAGCGAGTTCTGTACGCGCGTCGGTCTTATGAAATTTAAATTTGTTTGAAAATATCTTGTATTTGAAAATGTCTCATACTTTTTTTAATATTCAAATATTTCCTCTTTTGAATCTATCAGTTTTCAATTTTGGACTCAGCACAAAATTAGAAAAAAATCACACAACTTAGGTAAGCCAATATAATCCGGTCACTTTACATATCTATACACATATATATGTATATATATACATGTATGTACATGTAATACGGGAGCCTTTACAAAATTATCTCAGAAATATTCAAGCCTTGTATAATTCTGTTACAACACACTTATTTGATCATTGTTCCGTGAAATAAAAACAATACGGGTACAAAATTGTGCCCAATATATCCAAACAATTTTTTAATTTAAGGGACAGTTTATCATTTAAAAATAATTTCTGCAAGACGACGTATAGACATATTAATAGAAATAAAAATAGAGACTGACTAAATTCATTATTTATATATACTTAATTAACTATTACTATCTAGAGGGACTATAATATCCAAAGAATTTGCATAACAAACTGCTTGTACAAACATCTATATATAACAAACATCGGTATATTAGTCCTTAATTCCGAGGGACATTCTCTCCTTCATATCGGAGATGCCTGAAATTGATGGTACCTGCATCAAAGTGGAGTTATGCCTGTGGTTTCTAGCTGTAAAATCATGTTCGCTAGATTAATTAGACCTTAGAGTCATTTTTGCGGCAAAATAGAGAGACACTATATTGGAAAAAGAAATCTTAATATTAATTTTGATAGATTCAATCAGAAAAATGTAATATAAATCGGATAAGTTAAATCTGTTAAACATTGTAATCGAGATAATCATTATTCTGATTCATATAATCAAAATTCAATTTGTTTGTCCTTCTTGTTGGTTCTTCTTGTCAGAACATTTTTCTAAGTTAGCATCAAATGTTAAAGAGATATAAAGCTAAATTGGAATCTTTTACTTTCTCACGTAACATATAGATAAAACACGTAATGAGAAACTAATTACAAAATAAAACAGTCTATCTTTATGCAGTACACAAACACAGACTTAAGATATATGTTTTTCAGACACAAAAAATATCGTTGCCGTAAAACTTTAAGTTCGGTTCGCATTTAAAAAGTGCTCCTTTAGGAAATTATCTAATTTAATCTGTGAAACAAATCTGTGAAAATAAATCTGTTTTTCTATGAATATATAAACAAAGAGAGAGAGAGAGAGAGAGAGAGAGAGAGAGAGAGAGAGAGAGAGAGAGAGAGAGAATAGAATGTCACCCTTCTTCACGTAATATATATATATAATCTACATATAGTCTATCATATATCTGCCTACATTAGCCAAGGGGAAGTACACGATCGATAATATCGATTTCCAGTAGCAAAATTTAGTTCTATTTCCGCACTAGCGAACAATGAATCACGCACAGTCATTTTCTGTGTATTTAGGATAAAATTTATATTAACGGCGACGACATTTTCGGCCGTGTATACGCGTCCAAGTAGAAAATCGCTCCCATTGAAAATGTCACGCTCTGAAAATTGCATTCAGCGATTCGCGCGTTAAGCTTGGTCTAATTCTCAAATAAGTGCCTATACGTAAACGTGAACTATATCGCCCGAAACGATATTTATATTTTTTAATCTTCATATTGAGAAGATATTTTATCACGTCAGAGAGTTTGTTCTTATGAATCGCCATCTTTCTCTTCTGTTAAACCGACGCGCGAGATATCATAAATCTCGCAAAGACGTTATATATGCAGCTCATGATTTATGATTCCTTGAATTGCGAAATTCGCTGCCTCCGATCGAGAAGCAGTGAAAATCGGAAATTGCGTTTACAAATAGGGATAAACGCGATTAAAAGGCGATATTGAGTGGATGTTGAACAGCGTGTTGGCACGACTTACCAATAATTCGAGGATACAAGCCTATCCTATCTTAGATCCTCATTGAAGCTCGAAAAGGGCGGGTGGGATGGAGCCCGTCCGACGAGATTACGCGCGTTTACATCCTCCGGGAGGTGGAAATCACCTGTAAAGAAGACAGTGATTTATCAAGGGCTTCCTTTTAACGAAGCTCCCCGTCGAGCATTCTAATGCAATCGAGACGTTTAAAAGTTTAACGTTTTAAACCTCTAATGTTTTAAATCTAATTTTAAATAAACTTTTTAAAAGCTAATATCTTTTTAAAGGCTAATTGATTTACATTGTAGCTTAAACTTTATCGGAATAGAATAAAAGTTTTAATTTAAATAGAAATATATTTTTGGCTATAGAAAAATAAAAAGTTCAAAATCGAAACTATAAAAATATATTTAAAAAATAGTGAATTTCCATTTATTAAAAATTTTTTTAATTTTTTAATCGAAATGTCAGCGACGTAAATTCCGTTTTATAACTGTTACTGTTATAAAATTGTTATTTATAGGCTCGAAGAGGCTATGAGCTAAAAAAAGTGCTAGTACTATTTTTACAATTTTACACTTAATTCCAGATCATGCGCTGATTACGAGTCTCTCGGGAAAAGCTAAATGCATATCGTCGTAGTGACGACAGGCTGGTGTCTTAACTGCGACACGCTCGCATAATTAATATCTGCATCCACAATCAATAACGGATAGAGAGACGCGAGGAGACGCGAGGACAAAACGGGAAGATCTTGTCGTCGATCTCGAAGGAGCGTCACCGTTATTATTCGTACCCTAGAGAACTATGTTCACCTTCAACGGTCACAACCGGTTAGCTGGAATCTGAGAGATTCGCCAAGAGTATGCGATTCTCATGAGGGATAATTTAAACTTGCTCAACCGCGCAATCCCACCGTGAGTTCAGTATAGTTCAATTCGGCTGAGTTCACACGCCCAACTTCGCCCTCACGCTCCGCTCGCGCGTACCCGCGCGGCTTACGAGCATGTTGCGCTAAAGAGCGTGCACACCGCGCGCGGGTGGCGTATGTAAAACCGCGTATCGATTGTGACACGATATATGCTCCATATTCCATTTCATTCCATTTACGGACGGACGGATCGGCCGGCAATTAAGCGAAGTAGCTCAATTGTTCCGGCCGTTCCCCGTGACAGCTCCGCACTGTCGATAACATCCTAATGCCATGTGTGGAAGCTAAAATATATGTTACGCGCCAACACTTATACGTACACACATGTCGGCGTATGTCGGAAGCTAACGGTGCGAATGTCACCGCTGATGGATGACAAAGTAAGACTTCGCACTATATCGTTACATAGTATAATAATGGATCTCCGAATCGATGTAGCGAAATGTATGTACAAACGTGTTCAGTCTATTATTAGCTACGCAGAAAAGTCACATACAATGTATAGAGACTCATCGTATGAAATTTTAACGCGTAAAGAGAGAGTCCATCATTTTATCGTAATATTTCAATCTTCAAACTTACGCCTTCACAACTGGATCTAAAATGGAAATTTGATTGAGGTATATAAGATACTTTGAAGCTAAGTGCGAAGTTTAGTTTCACTCCATTCAGCTGCCTTTCCAAAGCTTAACTCGTGAGAGAAACATATTCAATCTCTAAGTCGGCGCTTAGATAGATTCTATAAGGAAAGTGAACTCTTAATTGGTCAACTTTACAATGCACAAGTTACCACGATCCTCTTTTTTCGATGTTGGAATTTGGACGTAAGGGTGAAAGATTAAATGAGCAAAAAACTTTTCATGAATAGAGACTTTATGTAAGCATATCGTATTAAATTTTAATGATTCGAATAGAAGGAGAGTTCATTGTTTACCGGAACATTTCAATTTTCAATCTTATACCTTCACGGCTAATCCTAAAATCGAAATCTGATTAAAACAGATGTTCTTTAAAGCTAACAGATAATTCGGTTGATGCGTATTAAAACCGTACACTGATTTAATTCAAATCGAATACAAATATTTCGAGTTATAAAATACATATTTTATCACACAACAATAGAGTATTTAAAATTTTACGATTCAATCCATTTTTGAAATTTGTGTTAAACACTCTATCTTTATGTCAATTTGTATACAAGGCTTTAATGTGCATTGAGTGCGCACTAGTGCATTCAACCGAATTCACTATAAGCGAGAAGTTTAGTCTTATCGTTTAACTGCCTCTCCGAAGCTTAACTCGTGAAAAGCATGATCAATCGTTATATAGTATCGTCGACACCTGGATAGACTCGATGAAAGGAAAACAAACGGGTTAAACTCCTTGGTCGACTTTACAATGCACAAGTTTGCGCCAAGTCAATCTCCTTTTCTTGATATTGACAGAAAAACTCCGTGTATAAAAATTCATCATATAAAATTTTTTTTAACGACTCGAGCACAGTCTATTCTTTACCGTATTTTTTCAATATTCAATTTTATGTCTTCACGATTAATCTAAAATGGAAATTTGGTTGAAGCTGTAGAAATTCTTTGACGCTAGCAATAAGTGAAAAGTTTCGTTTTATCGTTTAGCTGCCTCCCCAAAGTTCAACTCATGAGAATTATATTCAATCACTAAGTATTGACACTTGGACAAACTCGATGAAAGAAAAATAAACTTCACATTGATCAACTTCATATTCTCTAAATTTCTTGGAGTAAAATTCACTTGAAAAATGGAGTGATTACTGAATCGCTCAAGTTGGAGTAACTTTTCATTCGTATGGAGTGAATTCTTCCATTCTGTCGTGGAGTGGCTCTACTTTCACTAGTAATTAAATAGAATCTATATTCTATCAATATAACAATTGCAAATAATACATGTGTCAAGAAAAAGAAATTCAGTAAACGAATCACACTAATCATCGTCGACGTTGAGTCGATATTATACCTTCAATTTTTAAATTTGTCGATATTTTATAACTGATATATATATATATATAGAAATGTTGACGGTTTTTTCAAAAATAAATACTGACAAGAATATATGCATACTGAAATTAAATATTTTTTTAGTTTAAAACTTCAATACTCCGATATTATATGTAGTAAAAAAGTTGCACAACGACAATGTACGATGCCGAACTGTTATTAAAAGTTACAGAATCGAGATACTGATACTAAAGTCATTTATGCCCCAGGCTTTATATTTAAGGCTTCTTTAAATTTATCTTTGGATGCTCAGTAGCCAATAAAATAATTCGTAAAACATCTGAAGATAAATTTAAGGAACCTTATAAATATAAGGTTTCACTATGAATATACGGACATTGAATTGGTGTTTCATTTCAAACAAATGAAACATTCACGATGATTAAAGTTAAACATTCACCTTTATAAAAATTGAAATGTCACTTCATTCCGAGTAGCAGTACTGTATCGACTGAAGCAAATTGAAGTGAATTTTCACTTGTTTTGAAAGAGATTTCATTCAAAAAAAATTTAGAGAGAGAAATATACGAGTTTTGCGCCAAGATGTCACGATCTTCTTTGTCTCGATATTGCCACTTGAACATAGAATAAAATACCATGTTAAATAAAATAGAAGATATTTCGCGTATGGCGCATACGAAACACTGCGTTACGTGCAATACGATCCGTGCGTGCAGAACACCCGGTGAATATTCTCAAAATACTCCTTTTTAAGATACAACGGCTCTCTATTTGTTGCATGAGTCTCATAGTGTATAAAGTGACCTCCATTGGCAGTCACGCAGCGCCGTCGTATCATTTACTACTTCACGTGTTTGTAAAATTTATGCCGAACGCGAGTATAAAGCATAGCGAGACATGGTATTGCACCTTGCACCGCAATTCTCATATCAAATACACATATTTATATATATACATATATATATTCTTAAACAAAATGTCTCTAACAGTGTCTCTTCAATCTTTCCTTTCATTATGTAGAATAATTTTATCAATTTCTTTGTCATTATCTTATTTCTTCGTTATAATTTTATTAATTTCATCTCGTTATTAATTTTATTTCATTATAGGGCCAGCTTTGAGAAGTAAGTTTCAAAAATGCACAAATCATACGCTTGTTCCTATCAACGGCGGACAGAATTTGCAAAAGTTCATTATTAATCAAGCGCCTTGTCAAATATGCTCAAGAGGGTACTGTAACGATGTCTAATGAAGATTCGCCATCGAGAAAACAGTCGAGAAATATCTGACCTACATAAATATTGACTATAGACGGTTTTCGTCTTTCAACCTTGAAATCACGCAAAGGATAGTCCCGCATATTCGGTCAGATAGCAATGAACACGCCAAGAGGTGCATGTGAGAAACGTTTCGACAGCAAAAACAGCGGTGCAAACTACAGGACACATTCGCGTAAACTGAAAGTAACATCCATTTAATCAGTCGAGCAGCAAAATTGGGATTCCGGCGGATTTATTTGCCGGCTTGCGGTATTTCCAACGAATGTAATAAGGACGCATCTCCGCGGGCCGCGGTTGAGCGATTTAATTTGCATGGCGGCGCGGCTCGGCGCTCGGAATCGAGTTGAAAACGTCGTTCGTGTCGATATAAGTAATCGCTGAGTGCATTTAATAGAACCTAACTTGAGACCGTGCTAAGAAAATCTAACTTAAAGATCAAAATGTTCCTGCGTTGCACAGTTAACGCGACCTGGCACGAAAAGATATTTAAAGCCGATTATATTTTAGCGATCAGTTCTGATATAACGCGAGAGAGCGAGAGAGAACGATAAGTTGCGTAATTACGTTCATAATTAGTCTCACCCTCCCTTATCACAGATACGCTGTATTATTCTGCACTTTTTCACTCAACTCGCGCAAATTACTTTGTTTACTCTACCTACTTAATTTCCCGTTAGTATTCCACAACGTTATTTAGTCCGAATATATCAAAATAGCAATTATTCGGATTTTCTCCCGGACGACAACACAACAATTTCATTTGCCATGGCCGCTTAGATTTGCGTATACTTATTTATGCATCATACGTCGGCGGCAACCCTTCCGTGTCGACGTTTGCTGAACACGTTCACCCCAATTGCGAGTGTAATACAACTCGTAAATGATGGAAGTCGGAGAAATGCAAATAGCTCATTCCGACAATACCCTCCGTGGTTTTGGTCTTCGAATTCGTAAACTCCTAGTTTACCAACATTATTTACCTAGCATCAACGCATCTCCGATCAACTCTGAGATCTCGTTTCGTATAACAAACGAAAATTTCAAACTCACGAACAAGGCAACTAATAAGACTTCGCAAACTATTAATTTTGATCAATGATGTAAGCTTAGTTCATTCGGAATTGGCACTCGACTAAACAGGCATTCGTACTACGCATAAAACGAAGCGAACGGGTTCTCTCATTGTCAGCCTCTCGTAGGAATTACGATAATTGAAACGTGATTATCTATGATTTACTTCTGAGTGTATGTCGGTGTAATAACTACGTTGATTAATTAAATACAAAACTGAAATAGCCAACCCACAAATTTTAAGTAAATTCAATTTAAAATTCAGAGTTTTTATTTAAAAACAACTACGAACATTGCTCATCTCTTTTCGGTTTAATAGCTTATCTCTCTTTTTGCAGTGTCTAAGTTTAAAATCCACTTAGACGATTTACAATTTACATCAGAATTTTAGTATAGAATTCTTATATTCATAATTTTTTATTTAGTTGTATTTTGATATGTGTGTATTTTAATATATTTTTACATATATTTCGATTCTTCACATTTTTCACTCAAAATATTTTTCACATTTACACGGCATATAAATTATAAATAAAATTCTATTCGGAATTTTTTGTCACAAATTATAGTTCGCTTAAAGCAAGACAAATAAAAGTAATTAAAGAAAAAATAATAGAACATAAATTAATAACTAACGAAACGGTATTTTGCTCTCATAATCAGCAATTGTGTATTAAACATTACATCACTTCCTTCCCGTTTATAAGTACAAGTGATGGTAGACTTATTGGAATACGAATGCAGTAATTTCTTTGACATTTAAAATCGATTTTTGTTTAATAAGTTAGTAGTTTTTTATTTAGCAAGTAATAAAAATGAAATATAAAAATTCAACAAAGATTTTCAAATACTCATTTTCGAAATTACTGAATGATGAAAATTATTAAATGATAAAATATTAATATTTCATATATTTCAATTCGAATTATTTTTAACAGAACTTCAATTAGCGATTTAATTACTCGATTATCAAATGTCGAAATTGAAGAGATAATAACTTCCCTTTTTCCACATTTTCATTGTAAGAGAAAAACTTGATACCAAATTTCGCAAAAGGCGACATAGTACCTGTGCTGATTACAAAATACTCTGTTTAAGCACTACATTTAGACAATATTTCCGTTTAGTTATTCAAACCTTCTCGAATCGCGGAGACCTAGCAGTGATAAGTTTGTTTTAACGGGGGAACTGGAAGAACCGATAAAATATCAGGGAGATAGCGTGATGTAGATAAGCCTTAATTCCATGAATATATTATGAGAGCTTGGATCCTCGACCTTGTTCGTTCCAGCTCACAATCTACGCACGCATCGAGATTACCAACTGGGCGTGGAGGAGTTTTTTTCTAAAATAAATATGCTATAAAAGGGGCACACGATGGGCGTAAAATATCGATTTGTTGTTCTCGAATGAAGGCGGTTCGACGTAATCAACGACGCTCACAAAAAACTGGCTCGCGGCTCGCCACCGGATGTAAAGTGAAATAGCCGTTCTTATCGTAGCACGCTCCATTAAGGTGAGAATATGTATGTCACCATGAGAATGAACCGATATTATCGAGAGATCCCCCACCTCCGGAGACGTTGGTTAGTCCACTTTTCCGATAAATGGTTGTCTTAGATGAAGTAACTTTTCTTTTACATAATACGTTTATTACAAACTGCAGATATTTTTCAAAATCAAGATTCCTGCTGAAGCACGGCTGAACAATTAATTCATTGGATAGATAACCTAATATTTCTTTAAGAATCGAATTATTCAGAAGATATTGGAAAGAGAACTTATATTCTTGCTATATTACTTCTGCTAGCTACACTGAAAAAAATGCATGTAATTTTACTTGGAAATTACATGTTCGTAACTGGAAAATTACCTAAATATGATTGGAAATTTAGTGGAAATTGTAAATTTTCAATCATATTTAGGTAATTTTCCAGTTATGAACATGTAATTTCCAAGTAAAATTACATACATTTTTTTTCAGTATACTAGCTCTTGTTTATTCATATGTAAATTTTTCGAAAACAGGTACAGTTTCTTTTCTTGGAAATATTTGATCAAGATGTAATAACTCAACAAGAAATGTACACATATATATAGAATATATGTAGAACAGCTGTTATCAATACATTGCTTTGGTAGATGACCAGTTGTATCTACGTGTCCAAGTCTATTAATCAAGAATGCATCTCGTAATGAAGTTTCTGAATGCAATAAAGTTCTACCGTCGAATGTCATCACAAATAATATAACGTCCTCGTGCAAATAATAAATTTTTCCGGTGGCAGCAAATTAATTCTGCCCGACGATAAATTTCATGATTGTACTGCACTAATGCGTCACCTCATTTTTTTTATAAGCCCAAATACAATAGTCAAGCCACTCAAACTCATATCTAAGGCATAGTATGGAAAAAGTATATCACAAAAATTTTGTCTCTCATAATATATAACGCATTATATATTTATTAGAACGATAGTTACGGATCAGGTGTCAAATTTATCGTCGCTATGCGGGAAAATCTACAGCCTTGGCACTTTCGATATCGATATGTCGAACGAACCTGAAGTATCAATACTAAAGGTACTCGTAAAACAAATTTGCTGCAACCGTTTTAAAATGAGTTTTCGACCATTCGATACGTTCAAATAACTGTAAGCTACACCGAGACCAGTCGAATATCGACAGTTTCGGTTACTCCAATTGTACAAGAGAGTAAAGATACATTTTTTTTTACGCCAGGTTTATCGTAGTTTTAAGCCGGAAATCTTAAACCGTTCACAATTACCCGCGTCCAAGTCAGATTTGGTCGGCGGGAGCGGATTCGGATCGAAGATCAAGTACCCGGGGAAAAGTATCGGATACTCGCGCAGCCCGCGCGACTGGCAGCGCAAGTGGGACAGAGAATTCATTCGGAGTACTCACTGAAATGGGGTACGGTGAGCCGCGCGAGGGAAACGCGCACCGGCTGCGACTCGCCAATAGAGGGGCACCAGCGTTCACTTGACGCGGGTGCACGTTTTCACGGGCAACACCTCGGGATACACTCAAGCGACGCACGACGTCTCGCTGATCATGATGATTGACGGAGACCGATAGTCACGAAAAAGTCCTCGCGATGAACGCGCGCTACCGGGGACCAAAGGAGAAGACCACCGAACGAGTCGTGATTTTGATAGCGCAACGATGACGAGGACCAAATGGTGGTAACGTACGAGGTAGAAGACAGGGTGGCTTATCAAGAGAAAGAGAGAGAAGAGATGGCGAATAACAGAAAGAAAGAGAATAAGAAAAAGAGGGAAAGAAAGAAAGAGAGAGGGAGGGAGAGAAAAGAGAGAAAGAGAGAGAGAGGATGAGAGAAAAAGAGCAGAAAAGGGTGAAAATGTGCCAAATTGATGAATTACGACTGGTCACTGATTGTTACAAGAAGGATATAAGAAGGATACCCCGATAGTAAGAATAGATTGATAGACAACCGCGTGGCAGCTAGAGTCGCGACGCACTGCTGCTTCACGGCTTGCGAAACCCCCACCATAGATTTTCACGAGCTCACTCTAACCCCCACTCACCCCCGCGCGCACAATCAACCCCCACCTGGCCGCTGGCGCACCAGCCGAACTACGGGCACCTCGCAAAGCTGCCGACCACCACACCCCCGCGACTTGCACACTTGTTTGCCTCCAAAGGTTTCGCTCTTGCAAACCATTGCAAACGGCGCGGCCCTCACGAAGCACGGAAGCAGAAAGACGACGCGATTCGAGTACGACTTCTTATTCGCCCCGATCCAGTGACTCCGTACAACACCCGAATTACCGTAAAGCAACTCACGCGGCTTGAAAACCCGTAAACTCCGTCGTAAACGCGGTAAGCCGAAAAACTTAATCGTGCAAAGTACGGAAATGCATTGTGGTATGAAGTCGATGAAGGACAGTAAGTTCAGTTCGAGCTTTCAGTCAACTTTATCTCGTAAAACGAAAAGAAGGCATTTTCATTACTTTTATCACTCTTTTACTTCCTCTTCGTCGATTTACATGACTGCATTTTTACATTTCTTTGAATTTTGGTTTCGATTTTTTGTTTTCTCAGAGATAAATTTTATAGTACTCTGAATCCTGCATGCAACCGTTTTTTACCCTTTCTTCTTTATTTTTATCCATAGAATGAAAAATGTAGTTTGGCAATAGCTAAAAAACGTTTATTTTAATGTGTCGTCCTCGTAATAATAAATTCCCATTTTCTTTATAGACAGCTTGCACAATTGTAATTTTATCTTATTTACATTGTATACTCTGTAACATCTAGTAATGTAATTTACTTCTGCAATAATTACGCTTGGATAAGAGCGTGACATTTAGGATCTATTACATTCTGTTATCGACACATTAGCAAATTGACACCACGGCCATTCACAACCACATCGCATTCCAACGATGTCGTTTCCAAAAGGATTAAACTAGCTGAAATGCAATACAAGCAGATACGGACGTTGAATCATAGATTTAACTACGTTAGTCTGAGAAGAAAATGGAGAAACTTATAGTGGTATTCTGATCTTCAATTCAACAGTTCTGCCAAGAATACTTGACTATTAAAATTTTCACACTAACTTTCTCTCTTCCTTGCGCTAATTTCATATTCTTAACTACTGTTAAAAGTATTTAACATATCATAATCGAAATTATAATGTATAATAACATTAGAATAAGAAAATATTCGCCTCCAGCATTAGGCTTACAATATATACATGTATATTAAAATAATAATCTTTAAAACGAGAATTTTATCTAAAGATTGTAATATATTGGAATAACTTAAAATAAGTAAAAAAAATATTATATTAACTTAAAATAAATTTAAAAAATATTATATTAACTATTAGCACGTATTTTTTATATAGTTAAACATATTATCAAAAATAAAATGTTTTATATTTGTATTTATATATTTAATACAACATAATTAAGTAACAACGCAATAATAATACAAATAATATATACTAATAAATAATTAAAACTAAATCAGAAAGACTATCGAATTTTCGACCGAGATTGCTGCTTTAAAATTCTCTTGCACCGACACTAGCTATAAAAAGTAAAAGTTGGATGCTACGGCCTCGTTTAATCGCATAATGGAGCAGGCGAGGATAAAAGAGTAAATGGAAGTCGCAGACGAGCTCGTTCCTTGGTCAAGATTTAACCTACGAATTAGTCTAATTCGCACTTAACAGCCCTCAACTCGATCAGGCGTTCACTCTTTAGGACTACTAATTAAACAGGCTTGGTGCAACAAATCGATCGATCTTGAAATTTCAATTGGGCTCGGCGGACCACTTGCTAACAATAGGTCTGACCACAACTGATACTTCAATCGCGTTGTCTCGTTCTGAACGAAACGAGCGATAAACCCCTTAAAAGAATAAAGAGATACAGAACAGAGATTTGCCAGTAACATATACACACATCGTACGCAAATATTTTGGTTTTTATCGATAATAATATTTTGCAGTTATATTGTGAAAGGTAAAAAGCTAAAACCAATAAACGATGTTGTAACGATACAATTACTGTGTTTTGACAATAATTAAACTCACAATTAAAAATCAAATCAATGATTTGATTTCTTCATTTCTTGAAATACATTTAGACACAATCTTTTTTTCGATGCAGATATTAAATAATCAGTACCTACTACTAAATATGTATTATACTAATTGATTTCTTTATATAATCACTTTTATAATCAAATTATTTTACACATAATACGCTTTTTCCCGCTGAATTGCTTTCGTTTCAGTAAATTATTAGAATTGCGTCACACAGAATGCAGAATTTCTAGTAATTTACTAAAACATAAGTAATCCAACAGAAAAAAAATATATCTTGTGCATCATATGTTTTATACATAGAATGCTATTCTATATTCTAATGCCAATTATAGATTGTTTAACGGAAGAGAGTTTTTAGGAAATTTTACATTAAATTTTAATACGAAAATACGAATTATAGATTATTTAATAACGTTTTTCACATAGGCAACTGGTGCGCACTCAATGCACATTAAACAAACTTTATCACGATCGGTATACTAACGAACGTGGTAACATTTTGCAGAGTTGCGTATCTATCTGAGATTCGAACCGCTCACGCTGTGGCTAATAGACGTGTTTGAGATACACACGTACCGCATGACGGAATCTGCACATTGAGTTACCATCCAGCGGATCAAAATTAATATTCATGGAACATCAGCATTGCTAATTATAAGTTCGCCGAAAACGTTTATTAACTGTCAATCAATTTTCTTCGATCTACACTTAACATTGCATGCATTATAAAACAAATAAATGAAGCAAAAAGAAGAGGAAAAAAGAGATGTTTCCGATTGTAATTTTGAAAAAGATAAACGATATTTTAATTTTTTTAAAAAATGTTCTAGATCTAGAGATATAAATGTTCAAATGTCCTCTTTTTATTTTTACACGCGCTTGACACCTTCGCCTCACACAATTGCGCATTCCTCCAAAGATTTTTCACTTTGTTCAACATTTTCACGTTACGATATTATCTTGTATCGATACGCAATTATTATGCTCATCGTAAAATAATGTTCAAAGAATTTGTTTTTAAATAAAAAAAATGATAATGTAATCCAATTCTTTCTTTACATATTATTACGATCAATAGAAGCAAATTGAAACATTTTGAATTGCTCAATACTTGAAAATCATTTCTGATTTTAAGATCACTATTCGATCTTTATTAATTAATTATTTGTTTAATTTAGTATCAAATCTTTGTAAGTCTTAAATTGTTTTTCCATAGTTTGATTGTTTTTCCATACACCCAGAGAAAAGTTTCTTCGATTTAAAGAAATGTTAAAGAAATAAACTTTATATTTGATTTAAAAAAATTATTTTCAAATCAAAGAGAGAAATGACGTTCAAATCAAAGAAATTTTTTCTTTAACCGTATAGCAAAGAAACATTTCTTTGAATCGAAGAAACCTTTCTCTGGGTGTACTATATAATAAAATCAAATTTTAATTATGCATTATTTATACGCAATGTAAACAAAATATATTATTATGTATTAAAGTTAGATTTCTCTCAATAGCAGTTTCTTTTTCTTTTTGTTTTTCTTTTATATAAGTATGTGATATTTTTTCATATGTCATACACATTGGGTGCATTCAGTACTATTGACTGCTTACTGAGCGCTCAATAAGCTCTTATACCTGTTTGGTCTATATTTTTAGATCTAACGGAATATGCCAATCAGATGCAAGAACTCAGTGAGCGGTTGTAGTACTGAATGCATCCATTATATGATTAAAACGGTTCATTTTTGCAGACATCATTATCAGTAGCATTTAACTGTCTCGCGATAATTACATAAAAATATCTATAATATAAAATAATTCATAAGATTTAATAATTTCTTTGTGATATGATTGATCTACTTTAGAAAGATAGGATACAATTAATAACACAGCGTGATATCGAAGATTATCTTATTAATTGTATCCTATCTTTCTAAAGCAGATCAATCATATCACAAAAAAATAATTAAATCTTATGAATTATTTTATAGATATTTTTATGTAATTATCCTATCCTATCCGATTGTAATATCTATCGAAAAACAATGCAATATAATAATATAAATTCAAATATCATATATCCACCTGTTATTCACCTAATAAAGAAAGTTTGTAAAATATGAAATTCAAAAAGTTTGAGACTTTGTATAAATATAAAATAGACCTAATCGCAAAATAACTTTTTAGCGGATGATTTTCGATTTTAGAGGTGGAAACACCTTTTTGAAAAAAAATCAATATTAACGTTTCTAAACGTATAATAATTAGATCCATCTATTCTATAGTTATGTAATTTCAGATTTTATTTAACTTCTCATTTGCTGAACTTCTCTTGCAAGTAGCAAATTAAAATATTTTTTTCTTAAATATGAAAGTCCTTAGTCAAAAATTATTCTTCTTTTTGTTGACTCTTATCTTATCTTAGTTTTATTGCATTATATGTACATAATTGAAGCTATCAAATAGGAACGTGCATGAATGTAAACACATTTTTTTCGAGTTTGTTATGGAAATTTCCACGACTTTTAATTTTGAGAACAGTAATTTACAATATAAGGAATCGAGTAAAAATTCAAAATATGTAGCCTATCTATAATATTTATTTATGCAAATTTCTCCGTAAATTAAACTTTATATCAA